TTTTAAGTCTGTGTTCCTTACTCCAAACTCTGAAATTAATGGATCTGTCAGCAAAAAATTATAGGACCCAGTATGGTGCCACCAGTATATAAAGCAGCTGAAAACTAAACAGAGTGCAGCTAATGAAAGAAAAAAAACCAAACATGCTTTCTTGCTTTCACTACAAGCCTTATCTCATTCTACAAGTCTTTTAATATTTTAGTGAAACACAACACAACCACTGAATGTGAGTCAGATAATATGAATGCTTGCCAAACAAATTATAAAGTGCTCTTTAAAACTGATGAATGTCAGACAAGTGTGTGTGCAGCACCCATGGGCAATATATGAAGAAAATCTTGTGTTCTGATTGGCTACCCAAGCCAGTAAGATGGACTCGGGATTTCACACTGATCCCACACATCCAAAAAAGTGTGTAGAGCGGACTTGCAAAGTTTGTAACTTTTTGTAAATATCCAGCCATCTTTACCTCACACTTGGGTCAATAATGCATATATACAGTCATCAATTACTTAAGAAACATATAACAAAGGATACAACATAAAGGCAAACATCTTACATTTTTTATGCTTTTTTCTCTGCTTTCGAATCTTCTGGATAAATTTCTTAATAAAGTTTAGTTGCTGTGATCTTGTGTTGTCAATACAGAATAGAGGTCTGACCACATGTCTCTCATATTCCATACCAGAAATTCTCTCCTTAATTTGTTTCTTTATTGCTGCTATGTCTTTGACTGGTTTGTCAGCATGTGTGCCAACAATGAACACTGGGGGGCGGAGGTAGGGCAGCTTGTGTTGTGCATCATCATCTGTGTCATCGGTTGCCAGGGCAACACTATGTACTGTAGCCAACCATGAGAGCAAATTCTCCATGTTTGTTTCATTGTTAGGGTTTTCCAATTTCACATCATTACTCCCTTGTCTGATGCAGGGCTCAGCTGGGGCATCCAAAGGCTTGCTAAGATTGTGCACCAATATGTACAGTGCCCGCTGTGATAGGAAGATAGGATGGCTGGCATAGTACAAGTGCTGCCCTGCAAAGTCCCACACGTCCATTGTAACATAGGGTTCCTCTCACTTATTTCGTGA